CGGATGTCAAATTTATCAGTCCTTTTTAGGTAGGTTTCTTGGAGACAAAACGCGGATGGTTTGAGGTCTTGAATGAATAACTGTAATTCGTTATAATTATTCTTAAGTCCTCTGCAATTCCATTGAATCATGTTTTGTGTATTCATGGGGCTTCCACTGGTGACATGTCACGTGAGCGTGAGGAAGCGTTTGAAGTGCTCCGATTGGTGTCAGGTGGAGATGGAGTGACCTCCATATCCAGAGGGCCAAAGGAGTTATGGACCTCGACGGGGACCTCCAAAGGAGAGGTGGCCTTTGGCTTTGGTTTTGGGTTATGCAGTTGCTCAAGCTGCTTTAGTCTCTGTAGCTTCTTTATTTCCCTTTTGTGACACACAGATTCTGTTCTGGTTTTGGCATTTGTTCTGGTGTTTGTGATTCAGAAGTTTTGGCTTTTGGTTTTGGAGATGGAGTGGCTGAGTTGTGTTGAGCTCAGGCCTTGGTGGTGGATAGAATCTAATTTTTCTAAATAGCTTTTGCAGGCTCCACCATAAAAAATGGAGCCGTAGTCTAGTTTAGAGCGAACCAAGGATCTCTACAAGTGAAGGAGGGTAGTCTAATCCCTTCCCGACTCTGTATTTGAAACGACTGTTAGTAAGTCCAAAGCCTTCAAGCACTTGGTTTCCCAATTCAGTTTAGTTCTACACACCTATTTAATCGTAGAATATTGGTTGTTTTATTATGGCTAAATATCAGTACAATCGCCAGTGGTATAAATCCAGTTAGGGTCCATGCAGGTAGCCAAAGTACTCTAACTCCCCATGGTCCCTAGAGTGGTGATCTACCTTCAGTTGTTGGCGATCCGCAGCCTTTCTTATTACTGTGATATACAAGTTGGTTTTACTGTAACTTCGTGGACAGGTTTCTTTGTCATAAATTTATGAAGTGCTCCGATTGGTGTCAGGTGGATATGGAATTACCTCCATATCCAGAGGGTCAAAGGAGTTATGGACCTCGACGGGGACCTCCAAAGGAGAGGTGGCCTTTGGTTTTGGGTTATGCAGTTGTTCAAGCTGCTTTAGTCTCTGTAGCTTCTTTTTTCCCCATATTTGCGCGCAGTTTCTGTTTCTGGTTTTGACATTTGTTCTGGTGTTTGTGGGTCAGCATTATTGTTGAATTATTGAAGATGTACAGCATTAAATGTGTAAATGGTTTCTCAGAATGTGTAAAACAACAAACAATGCTATAATTTGGGGGAAATGTGACACAGCCCCTCTCCAACTTCTGTACACCAGGACTAGTATTGGTGCAGGCTACTGTATTGGGATGAACACAGACGGTCTCGCCAATGCTACCTAATGGATGACTCTGGCTCTACCACATGCTCCACTCATATTAAAGTATTCTGTTTGTGAAGATATTTATTCTCCTGTCTAAACCATGATTATTTGACAACTTACAACTATCATGGTGTAGTTCTAAGAACAGTTTATCTGATGTTTATCTAACAGTCGATGTTTACGGAAGAGAGGTCAGACTTTTGTTCAAAGCAGAGGGGAGTGCTAATGCAAGGGTGTTCAAATATTAAAAGCAGGTAGACAAATTGAATACGATAAGCAGGAAGGTAAAAAAAATGACCTACTTTGGCAATATTTCAGCCATATCGTGACTATCTCAAGTTACAGATTAATATATATTAAAGGTAAATCATAAAAACCTGTCAACGAAGGACAGTAAAACAACTAGATTATCACAGGTAGAAATTTAAAACTAGTGACCAAATCTAAAACATGTAACTATACACGACATAAATACAATATAAAGCAGGCTATAGATTGCCAACAACTGAAGGTAGATCACCATACTAGGGACCATGGGGACTATTCGTTTGTGAAAAACGTAAGTTTTGATTGAACCGCACGTTCAAACCTTCGGGCTGTCCGGTTTTTGATCAGGGTTTGAGCACCGTGTCACTCCTTGTGTATTTTATGTAAAGAGTGTAGCAGTAGAATTTTCCTACACATTCATTTCTTCACCGATCAGATTTGAAATATAGATTAATCAAAACATATAAAAACAATATACGATTGCAAAAGTCTAGATATATATTTTTAAAAATGATTGTCCAAACAGTATTAGAAGTCAACAGCTAGTCTGCCAACATCAAAGACACTTCTAAAAACGTCATCAACCGAGACATTTTGCAACCAACAGACGTCATAAAATGTCATGTGTACATGTATCACACCTGCCTAACTGTGTAATTTCAAAGTGTGACAGAGACGCAACACAAGCCATAAATCAATGTGTTTTGTTTATGGTGTAGAGCCTGATAGATGCTTAGCTCAAATTGCATGTGGTCAATGATTATAGTTGTGTATTGCATATTGCCATTAGCAGACAGGCAGGCAGACACATAGGTGTCAATAAAACAGACATTAGGTTTTGTCTGTGACAGAGGCTGCTTATCACAATCAACATGCTTTTTCTAGGTTTCCATAGACATAAATTAAAACATTTAAGTTTTCAAGCTGAGCAATTTTTTAACAATGAAATTAGTATTTCTAATGCAAACACGTAGGGATCTACTTGTGTGTTGTGTGTCAATTTCCTCCTCGGTAGAGTCTCCATCTTCTGAAAAGAATTCACATTCCATATCTGAAGCCATGTTTAGTGAACTCGAATCACTGATCTGAACCCGACATCTTGATCTTATTTGACAGTTAGAAATTCTGACAATGCTAAATAATGACGTTGCTGTTAAATATCGAACTCAGAAAATGACTCAGTAAGAATAACGGGTGGTGGTAGTCAAATGAAATTGTGTACACCCTTGCATTAATAAAGCACCACCCTATTTTAAAAATAAGATTTGATGCAACAGAAAAGTTAGGGTACAGCCATCAATTTAATCAACCTGTAGTTATAGAAGCTTTATCCACTGACAGTTTTACAAATACCATAACCTTTTCTATTATTATGAAAGTGTATGTTGATAACAATGTGGGGGACTGAATTTTTACCCTAAATAACTATTTCTCCCCTGTTCAAACTACACAATTAAATTAAGTTCTGACTAGAAATGACACTTTTGTTATAAAGTCTTTCAGTGGCATTTAGAAGTTGTACATTGATGTCCAAGCTATTTTTATGGATTAAACTTCTTTTAAATTTCTCTCACGACGTTTCGAGACCATTCCAGGTCCCTTCATCAGGTGAACTGGCAGTTAGGACTATGACGTCGTCGCTATCCTAACTCAGCTATGACGTCATAGCGACGACGTCATAGTCCTAACTGCCAGTTCACGTGATGAAGGGACCTGGAATGGTCTCGAAACGTCGTGAGAGAAATTAAAAAGAAGTTTAATCCATAAAAATATCTTGGACTTTTGTTATACACCAAGATGACATTTACATATCAAATAAGCTTTAATTATGCATAATCGGGAAGAACCCGAGTGTCAATGATTCAAACCTTTTTCCAACAATTCAGATTGCTAATTAATAAGAACTGAAAAAGGCCACAAAAATAAGATTTTGGAATAATTTATGTTATGATTTGGAGTTTATTGTAATGAATAAACACTTCTCCTTGCCGGATACTGATAACTACAGCCAAAATATGTTCGTTTTATTTGTAAAGCAACTTTAACTGCATTTTAAAATATCCCTTTTTTTTAGTTTGACTGTAACTTTTCCTAAATCTTAGTTTACAAACTTTCATCCATTCACAATAAATAACGAATTTATAGGCCACACAACAATCAATTATTACTTTCACTTTTCAAAATAAGGTAACTTGTTTTGGGACAGAAAAACACCTGTTTTAAAAATAGGCAATTATTCTAATTAAAGTACATTGTAATTTCAATGATGTTTTCGTTTTTGAAATGTTAAATGCTTGCTCTATCAAATTATAAAGGTTTTTTTTGGAAAGAGTTCAGAATTTCATTTCAGACAAAATTAATTGGTAAAAATACAGGGTGGTGCTTTTTTATGCACAGATGTATATAAACAGTTTAATCCTTAACAAGGTTCTTTCATGTAACAAGTAGATTATTTACTATTTACTGTTTGTGTACACAACCAAGATTAGACTACTCCTGCTCACGACCTTATAATCCAGGCATCACTGGTCTGCGCAGCGCAGCACAGCTGTTCCAACGACTTTTCACCCCAGCTGGGTTTTTTTAGTGAATCGTTTGATTTTTTTCATTGCGTTATGTTTCAACTTTATAAGTTGGATTTGCATTGTTGATAATTTGTTACCGTAGGTACAAACCGAAAGGTATCAGAATCTGCAAAGTTTTGTTTTGCGTTGCATATAAGCTTTAAGAATGAACCTTACTACATCAAGAATCATCTGCCCTGGTGTGGCAGACGGCCTCCTTTGTTGATATGGCAGATTTGACAGGAGAAGAAAAAAGGAAGAAGGTTCTAGATGATTTTGAAAGGGATGTGACTAATGCAAAAAGGGTAGCTGGTAGACATGACATTCCTCTGTCTAAAGTATACTAAACTTTGAAGAACATTCAGTTAAGAGTTGATTTGAGCGGAAGACAGGGTCAGGGAGGCCAAAGAAGCTCAGTACTACATACTGGCGACTTTGGCAGATTGTGAGTAGAGGTATATAGAAATGCGTTGAGAATATTAGCAATGAGATGGTTTATAGAGGACGTTCTCAAGCAAGTTAGGAAACCCTTAGATACGACTTACCTGGGTGACTCTTGCTTGACCTACGTATAAGAATCTATACCGAAACGTTGCATCATAGTAAAATAAAGAAGGAGTAATCCATAAAGTATCGTACTTTTCTTATTGTGTGTTGGGGTACAAGACACACGTGTGATATCGCAGTTGTTAGATACCAATAACTTTATGATTTATTCGTGTTAAATCTCTGAATATCATCTCCAAAATGGTTACAAATTGAATGCTAAGTAGATACAAGGCAATACAAGAGAGCACTACTGAGTAATTGCTTATTATTTATTTGAATGCGGGTGACATTGCAACCCCTTCAACACATATCCACGCAAGTAATATACACAGAAAATCATTGTATATCAAGCATAACTAATTTACGAAACTACAGGATACATCTATTATTGTTACATTAAATTTGAAGCTCACAATTCCTAAAATATAACATGACCGTTGCCAAATTCAAGTTAATATCTATAACAGTCATATGTCTAATGAAGCAATTCACAGACAATTAATTGATTACTAAAAAATGGTATGTCTCATTCTGGCTCCCAAATTAGTGTGATAGTTGTGATGACAAAATAACGTGTATTTGTATTGGATGGCATGAAGGTATCTTTCGAGACTGCGTGTTGTTGGGTTAGGGGTTGTTCACATGTTCACATTTTAAGTATGGCTGAATGCATTTACAATGATGATTTTAAAGAACAAGGTCATCTTCTACGTGCCAGTTCGGATCGGTTAAGCCAAGAATGGCAAAGTCCACTTTCTCCATTGCAACAGTACCGCTTCGGTTAGTTGGCCAGTTCATTCCATCTGGATCAATTCTTACAAATGTACACCCAAGTTGGTTATACCACCACGGAAGGTTGAAGTAACCACTTGCACATCCATTTATGTCCTTGTCAAAAGTTCCAAAACGCGCTCCATTCATGCTCTTACTGGAATCACCTAACGCCCCAAGCCCATCAAGATACTCCTCACTCTTGTAGGAAGCAGTGTGTTTCCTGTCGAATGAATCCCAGTGACAAGCGTAGCCCTCTGCTTCTGAGTCCACCCTAAAGTTTCTGTAGATAACGTAACCACCTGGTTTTCCCAAAATAAACATCACAAGAAATAGATCATATGCACCTTGTGTAGTTAACTGGTGTATAACTTCAGGGCCAGGAAAGAAAAAACCCGCATAAGGTATAATCCCTTGTTTAATCTGCTCCCAGGTATACGTAAAATTGACATTCCTTGTCGACCAATACTCAGACAGTTTGGTGTAAGTCACTCCCGGACCACACTTCCACTGAAAGGTGTAGTCAGATCCAAATGGCTGAATGGTGTACACATCACCTGCAGCAGGCGTCTCCAGGCAATCTGGAAGGAAAACGACGGCATACGTAATATCTAGCACTGTGTGATCTGTAACTGAAATTGTGCGATTGTCAATATTCTTTGACCTGTTTTAACTATGACGCTAATACATAATCACCTTCTTTACTAATGTACTTAGATGTTACTAATCCTAAAAAATAGTAAAAACAATCTGAAACAAATGACTTAAAATATACCAACATGACTATATCCAGTCAATGAACCAATATGCTTTCCATATTCACTGTCGGATGTAAGAATGGTGGCAATGTGTCCACTACCACTGCCGTTGGATCTAAAGATATTTCTTCCCAATGAGCAGACAATAAGTCCATATTCACAGCAGGGGCCATTGCAATATTGACAGCTTGGAATACATTAAAGAACAATCTCTTCATAAACAATTTGTATTATTTTCTTGTTTATTATCATGTCGACAGGCAATTAAAAACATCGGACTATCCAGTCACCTTGGATACATTGGAACTATACCATGATCTTGCCAGTGGCCAATACGACATTGTCTGCTGTTAGTTGCCCAGACATGTTAGGATTGTTTGTAACACAGTGGCTGACGATGCAGCAAACGTAGCACTCAAAAAATCTGACACCACTCCTTCTTCCATATAGTGATATCAAACCTGTCATTAGATCTTACATACGTGATCTGATGCAAAAGAAATGAGACACGCAAGTAGATGTCAATAAAATATATGCATTAAAACCAATTATGGTCACTCTTACTTATGCTGTCATTCCAGATTTGAAGAGGTCATTATGCGACGATGTCGTATTGGCAATTCATGTTACACACATAAATACTTGTTAAAAACTGAGCATCCTCCTTTACGTATCCCTTGTGATGAAACAATCAGTCATGCATATATTGCTGTACTGTGTAGATTTCTCTCTCACAAAGGATCTATATTGTCACTCCACTACTTTAAAGATATTTTTAGTAACAAGAATGCTCATTTTATTTTTGCCTTTTTAAGAAAAATCGAACTGATAGATAAATAATAAATATATTGGCTAGCATAACCTTCAGTCACTGATAACCAAAGTGATGTTTAAATCTTGCTGGGAAATCATGTAGGAAGCAAAAGTACTGTCCCCTTGAGGTGGTCGAACTTTCGTTGTAAGTGGCTTACAGCATGGTTTTAATTAGTATGTATGAATCTGTTGTCTTCTTGTCTTAATTGTCATAACGTTGGCTTTATTTTACAACTATGACATTCCTACCTGATTTACTGTCCTTTGTACAGACGTGACAACACGTGAATACATGGATTTGAATAGTGGGTCTTTCTTGTCGTAAGAAGCAACTTGACCACTTGAATCGGGTGGTCAGTGATTGACTTGGTTGTTCATCATATCACAATTTGGCAGATTGGTGGTCTTTTGTCCAGATCAGATTATTTACAGACAGCTGTCATGCTGGAATATTGCTGAGTGCAGCGTTACACAAGAAGAAAACTGTGTTGGCCAACTGAAATTACAGCCATATCGTTATAGAAAATCTCGTTCATGTAAGCTAATGCATACATGAACATTCTCGATAAGACATTTTTGAAACAATTTCGTAGGAAACAAGCAAATTCACAAAATTTCAAGTTTTTCAAATAAACTTGTAACGAGAAAATATTCGAAGCAACTGAAAAATATTTTATGCTATAACAGTGGAGGCATTAGGACTTCGTACCTCAAAAGTGCTATTGTTTACCCACCGGTAACACTTGTAACAAAGTAATGCAAAGGGAAACCAATAATTCATCACTCTTTTCATACTGTGGTGTGATGTACGTTTTGTATTCCCAGTTCTTTCCACACAGATCTAGTTACATTCTAGTTACAATGCATAGGTAGGTCCTTCGTCATTAATACATATGTCTTTGAAATAAAACTCATTTGGATCTTGTATTTGAAATGTTTATTAACTCATTTAGCCCGAGAGCCCCATCACTACTCAACACCTGGAAGCCCTCGCTGATTGCCCACTCTCTGTGCCGAGACTATTTAGTGCTAGTCACACCTGATTTCCCTGGCAGGTTTCGGGGATCACAGGAAACTGTCTAGTCGTACAAACAAGTCCTGATTGTTTAATTGTGTCGTAAAGATATATGTTGAAAGAAATCAGGTGTGAATACATGTCGTGTATTGCAAGCTTTATGTAATTTTATTGCAAGTTTCTCTTGTAGACCTTTTGTCGGCTTGTACATTTATATTTTATCACAATATGCATACACATGTATTCTTTGTATGTAACAAAGTTACCACGTTAACAAATTCTCTTTCTTATATCATTGTGTGAGGTTTAAATTTACAAAACATCATGAGATACCTATCACAGAGGAAAGGACAGGTGATGGGGCGTGGGCGAAATTTACAGAGAGCACGTTTGGTCACTCAGCAGCTTGGATAGAGATTGGTTATTGGCTATATCCTTGACCAGTCGATATGCTGGGTTTCGGCTTTATCAACTCAAGCTATCATGTAACAGTTTGTGTATTGTAACATACACACTGGTAACGATGTATGAAATATACACATAAGACAAATAGGAGTAGATAGTCACTTTGGCGAGTTTATTTGTCCTCATTTTAGTGTTTTTCGATAAGTAAAACAAAGCGATTGAAATCCAACCACTGAGTAGAGGTAGTATTTATTTTCATATACATTTTATGCACGCAACTAGTACATAAAACATAATGCTTTAGTATACATGTAAATATAATCTTCACCTTGATACGAAACTAGAGTACACGCATTACAGAATTCACGAGGTGACACTATACTGAATAGTGTATAAACTTGCAGTTGACACCCCCAACCCCAATATTTATGAAGGTGGGCGTGCCTATATCTTTACTGAATGCAAACGAGGTTCATAAGATTACAGATGTGCATGCATGTATAAACATCACAGAGAGGGGCGTGACTCCATAAAGCAAGATGTCCAGTGATATAACAGCGCAAGGTCGAAAGAGGCGTTCAATTATCTCATTACTGTAATCTGCTTGAATGACTATACGCATGTGTATCGATACCGTAACTGATATACTATCCAGCTTTTATTGACGATGGATCAATAGAGACTGAGTTGATTGATACACGTGATAATTGCACCGGATTTGATAATTAAACAGATCAAATACCAACGTTTTACAGAATGCTCATGTAAATTGCATAGAAAACTGACAATTCAAATCAACATGAAACTTTCAACAGCTTGAACAAAAATGCTTGAAATACCTTTGTATGGCTTACATGTAATAACTAATGATATTATCTCTGTCCATGTGTGACAATGTTTTGAATTACCAACTTACTGTCTTTTGTAACAAACGTAGTAAAACATTTCGTTGCTGTAATAACACTGACATGTATATATGTAGTCGATGCAAAGGCGCGACTTATCACTTTATATTCGCTTAGGTAACATTACGAACTTTAGATTATGGAAAACAACTAGTTACAATTCAGTAAACTTCAAATTAGTAAGTTCAATTATGTTAAATCTATTCGAGCTTGGATGTATAATTACTTGTGTTTATACATTGTTTCAGTATATGAAACATGACAACATAATGATGCCTAAAAAGTAAATTCAAACTATTCTATTGTGTTTGAATTCTTTGATGTCCTTGAAATTTCGTATATGTTTCCTATTTATTAGGTAGTTAAAGGAAATATAATTTTTAGTAACCTCTAAACCATTACATCTAATTCAGTCAAGGTGCATACGAAGTATTTTAGTATTCATTCCCAAGGAAGAGTACCAGGCACTTACCTTTGTGAAAACATCATAATCCCCTTTCTCGCCGACATGCGTTCATTTGCTAAACGCTGTACAAGCCTATGATAATGATTAGCAATTGTTATCTAAACACTTTAAATACTTCTTCTGATTGATACTAAAGGAGGGATCTCTCGTAAGAAAAGCTAACATTTGCTCAGTACTGCTAAATTGGTTGAAATAATATGTACAGTGCGATTTTTAAAAGTACAACACACATGTGCGTCTCTCGCTGAATAAGAGGTGCTTTCTGTTGACGACTGTATGTGGCTCTCGCAGTGAGAAACTGCTAATTACCTGCCCCATAAACACGTCACTCGCAGTGAGGAGCTGATTAATTTGCCCCATATATGCGTCTCTCGGCCTTTATGAGTTAAAGCAGACTTGTTCTCGTCACTATATGGCTGGAAAAATGCCGATGTGACGTAAAGCCCAACTCAACTCAACTCCTTCGTCATTCCCTGATGAAGCTCTTTAAATGTGTTATCATGGACTTCCTTTGCTTTTTATATATAATACCTGCTGTCGATGGACAGTAATACTTTTCGAAGATCACAGATTAGGTAAACATAGCATCTTAGCATAGGAACATGTCATTAAAAACAATGGTTCCATATATAAACAGACAAAAAAGATCACCACAAACTGAAAGAAGAGCACCTATCCAATAAAGATATCAGACTGGTTGGGCCTAAACTGGAAATTGGAGACGTACAGAATTCACGACAAGGCAGAGATATTGCCGATATGACGCTAAATATTACCATACTCACTCACCGGTAGACAAAGGTAGATTTTCATGGTGAATTTATGGGATAATAACAGCCTTAGAGTCTTGTTTTTGCAGGCTGGCAAACGACATTATCTTTGTTAAGACTAAAGTGTAGGTGGGGATCATGGGGGATGATATTACTGTAATATAATTAAACAGATCATGTGTCATCCTACTGTACATCCAAGCACAACATTTACATGAAGCAAAAAAGAGCCAGAAAAAGGTGGTGGGCTTGCAAGGGTCTGTTCTTTGTTCGAAAAATAACCCTTGAAGCGGTAACCCCATAAATCACAATGTACTGGAGTGAGTATAGAAAAGTGTATGATTCTCAACATAGACCATCTCCCAACCTCTTGTCCATGTCTGTTGCATGGCGACACAGCTCTGGGAAAAAACAGATTCATCTTGTCGTTTCTTTCTCCAAAGACCTCG